CCTCTATTAAATTACTTTTGATGAGCTACATTTTCCTATCTGGACCTTGACAAAGATAAATACTGGCTTCATTTTGTAGATAAAGTGACTTCTACAAAAGCACGTTGCTAGTTTAAAAACAGGCTTAACAACCAGTACTTCAACTACTATGCTGCATCCAAATGACAGTCCTAATGAATATGCAAATGAATAGTTTTCACTAATCACCTCTTCCTACCACTTAGTTCAAAGTGTCCAAATTATGACACTAACTAGCTATTATCATCATTTAATTGTCTATCTCCCCCAATAGCTTATGAGACCTCTTGAGAACAAGCAAAAAATGTTATTCACCTTTGTGTCACTAGCACCTACTACTGTGCTTGGAATGTAGTAGAGCCTTAATAAATATTTGTAGAATGAGTGGATAATCACTGTCATTGACAGAGTGACCATTTTATTCACACAACCATGCTAGGGGTCTTATGTAAATTTTATAACTCAGTCTTCATAACAATCTTGCAAGGTACACATAAATATTCCAGCATCACAGATGAGGAAAAATAGGCTCAAAGAACTTAAACAGCTCATGACTAATCTGGGTTTAAACCAGGCTAACTAAATTTCAAGGTCTGACATTTTGATTATATCCAGCTGCCTCCCATCATCTGTTAATGTGAATGAAAAAAAATACATAAATAAGTGGGTTGGAGAAAAATATCTAAGCATTTTATTGGATATTCAGTTATTTTTTGGAGCTTTATAAACAGGTAAATTCTTGTCTCTATGAGAAAAAGGAGCAGTTCAGTATTTATTTGCCATAGATTGAATGGAGATACATATTTTAATATCTAAAACTATGTCTATGGAAACAAAAAGAAGAATTAGGATAATAATCTGAAGAAATTAAACCGTTCATATTGCTGTCAAAGAAAAACCAGAGCTGGACAATAGTTAATGTGGTAAAAACATTTCATTTGGGATCTATCACAATAGAAGAAAAGAGACCACTCTATAGAATTGGGCTCAATTCTGAATATAGCACAGACAAGTGGGGATTTACAGCAAAGGAGCAGGGTGGGGGTCAGTGGATGGAAAATTACCAAGAGGAAACATGAGGGGTAAGAGGGATTCTGGCTGAACCACTTGACAGGATGCTTGCTGAAGGAAGGCCGAATTGATCAGATATCATCTGGGGGATGGGGGAAATGAAGAATTTGAGAAAATATCAAGGTAATCAGATATCGAGTGAGGGATTCTCTCTAAACTGACTTAACAAGGTTCTTGCTTCAACTGGGCAGTGCCGGGTTGGACACCAACACTAAGGCCTAGAGGTCTTCTTGGAGCCTGACTATACTTAAATCAAGGAGGAAGTATTGTTATCTTATTTGGCCTAAAGGTTTTTTTGGGCATTGCAAACTGTAACCTAATTTAACATGTAAGCAGTAACCTACTTTTGTAATTTTAGCCAACTACAGGCAGCCAACTGTTTAAACCAAGTTTAAGTAAGACAATGCCCAGCTGTTATCAATTTGGCTGTTTTTGTACTTTTTGGTTTTTGTACGTTATTATTTTTTTTTTCTGTTTATAAATGTTACCCAACCATGTGGCAGCCCTGAAGTCACTCTAAACCTAGGCTGGATCTTCAAGATGCCCAATTCGCAAATCATTCCTTGCTCAGTTAAACTCAGTTAAATTTAACTTGTCTAAAGTTTTTCTTTAACAACACCTACTTGCTTGGTTTGATATTGGTTGAAACTATTTCAGCCGGGTACTGCCCAAAAGGCTGTTCTCACAGAGCTAGGAGCCATTTGAAGATTCCAGAAATAAGGGATTTTTGTAAGATTTTTGCTAGTGTGAGTAACTCTTTTCTCCTAGAAAGGACAGTCTCCTACGTCTTCTTCATGTGTGTACCATTAGCTTTGCATAATAAAGCCCTTCATTAATTCAGTTGTACAGAATAACGTGAAATCAAATGCAAGCATTTCCCCCTGGCTGATTTCTAGTAATCACAAATTATGTTCATGTAATTAACACTGAAGAAAGAGCACAAACAAGACTTTGTTTTGTAAAACACTGTATTTTTTTGTGATTGAATCACGTCATTAAGGGCTGACAACCAATGTGTGTCAAAACCCACAGAGTGTTGCTGTTCAATGGGTGTAAGAGTTTCAGTCATGCAAGATGAAAAAGTTCTAGAGATTTGCTGTATGACAATGTGTATACAGTTAATGATTCTGTACTGTGCACTTAAACATAAGAGGCTACATTTTGTGTTGTGTTTTTTTTTACCATAATTAAAGAAACAACATGGAAGAAACTCAACCACATTTGTGTGAGAAAGCATGCTTGTTTCCATGGTTCCCATCTGAATGCTGAGAAGGAATTAGAGAAATAAAATGGTTCTTAACTTAATAAAACGTTAGCAAATCATTTTCATTAGCACTGATGATTGATGGGGCTTGTCAGTGATGTTGTGCGGTCCTGGGAGCAGAAGGCACTGTGTAAACAACACTATGCTAACAAAAGAGGACTGTTTCCATGGCTGACAATTGCACGGCCTTTAGCATGTGAAGAAACAACACACACATTCCCTGATTCGGGGCCAAAGTGCTCAACAGCAGCTGACTTTATTGGATTTTTGTTGGATAAATGGAATAGATTTTGTTCATTATTTATTTTCCTCCATGAAAATGTTTAAAGTGTATCTGAAAATATAAAATATTTTCACTGTATAGGCTGGCAAATTAGGGAAAGTTTAGGCAGGTTTAATTTAATCACGCTTAATTCTTTTCAAGTGCTTAATTTTATTTATTTAGTTTTTGGCAACCAGCCAGTATGGGGATCCAAACTCATGACCTTGGTGTCATAAGGCTGCACTCTAACCAACTGAGCTAACCAGCCAGCCCCTCCAGTGCTTAGCTTTAAATACTACCTTTTACCCCATTCAACACATTGCTTACAAAACTTCTTTCAGTATAGTAAAATCCTTTTGAAACAAATCTTTGCGTCATGGTGACAAAATCTGCTCTAGATAGTTACTTAGTGTCATAATTCATGGAAAGAACTATGGAATTCCCTATGTGGTGATTTTCTGTAGGACTAACTCCAGCTTCTATGCCCCCTGGCTACATATGAAAAATAGGAGTTTAGAATAGTCATTGTTTTTAGGCGATAAAAAGAGTGAAGACAAATTTGACATGGAAGAGAAGTTCTCTCTCATTGTTTGATAGGGTGACTATACTGGGCTTAGATATTGCCAAGAAGAGATAGAAGGAGAACAGACGGGAGAGAAATGCATAAGAAGGAAGAAATAAGGGCAATTGAGAGGTTTATGATTAAACCATACCAGTTTCTACTCTTCTGAACAATTGTCCCATTCTGTCAGTTTTTCCAAAACCAGTGTCATGTACTTGCACTACAGTTAAGGCGATTTAAAATTTTATTTTATTTTTTATTTTTATTTATTTTTTTTGTGACCGGTAAGGGGATCGTAACCCTTGGCTTGGTGTTATCCACACTGCGCTCAGCCAGGGAGCGCACCGGCCATCCCTATATAGGATCCGAACCCGCGGCCTCAGTGCTCCCAGCGCTGCACTCTCCCGAGTGAGCCACAGGGTCGGCCCGCGATTTAAAATTTTATGTGGTGGATTTCAGCATGGGTTCATTTGTATGGCCATTCAGAATTGCCAAGAGTGTCTCTATAACCTATACCTATAAGCTGTAAGAGACTAATACTTACATAACTAGTTTATTTTCTCCGTAGGACAGCTTGTCTGTCTTGTTCACTGCTGAATTCTAGTGTTTAGCACAATGATTGGTACATAGTAGACTTTCAATAGATATTTGTTGTATCTGTAATAGCATGAGTCAAGAGAACTAATCTCATACATAATTTTTCAGTGGCTTATTGTTTTACTGTGTGTGTTTGGGATTCAGCAAATTTGTAGAGGTAAAGCAGTTAGGTTTTTAAAAATTAGTGCTACTCAGGATCACTAGCTAGATGGATAATGTTCATAGGATTTTAATATGTTAATGCTGGTGATATTGTTAAGATATCATTCTGGCAACTCGAAATAGAATAAACATTATCAAAGTGAAATACTTTGGTTTTGGTACAAAATATTGTCTCAGTTTCAAAATAAAAAATAGATAAAATCTTTGACAAGGGGTTAGTAGAATTTAATAGGGTTTAACTCAACTTTTGGTTTTATATATAAAAATGTGTGCCTATGTATTATATATACATATAGATACACATATATCTATACCTATTACAAACATATACATATAGACCTCGATTTTTATGTTTGATCTTCTAAACCTTACATCTTAATTGCAATTGTAGGTTTCTTTTCCAGATCATAGAATTATTTGTTATTTTTACTTAGACTATTTCCATGATTAAAATCCTGTCTCCCAGGTTTCCGTGAATCAGCAGTGCCCAGCAAGCATTTCCCTTCCTGAGACTTCAGGCAAGTCTTGGAATGCAAGGAACTTGGAGAGGGAACCTGGCCAAATAGAGACTTTTGAGCCTTGGTGGACTTTCTGAAGTAGGTTTTTTTATAAACACAAATCAAAGTTTGTGCATTCTTAAAAGCAGCAATTTTCATGTAAATCCAAGGAACTCACTTTGGTTCTATTTATCTTGGCTAAAGAAATGAAAAGCTTTGTTTTAACCCCACAGCCATTATTTTTCAAGGGGACCATAACAAATTACTCTAACATCTTTAATCCCGCTAAAGAATAACCAAAGTTATTTGATGTAACATTTTCAATAGAAAATCAACATCTGAATCTTCTCTAACATCATTATTTTCTAGATCCAAATCAGAACCTTCCCAGGTATTTTTGTAATACAATGGAGTCCAATTATGTTATTCAGATTCAGTCCTTTTTTTAAAGAATGACGTCTTATGATTTTGTCAGTAATTTAATAGATTTTTGTTTTCTTAAAACGGTAGAACTAGGACATATCAAGATTTAAAACATAAAAACCTTGGAATACTCAGAAGAGCAACATGGGAGAAACTGAGAAAAAAATTGAAACCCGTAAAACAAGATGTCTTTCCAAGATGAAGGTATGAAAATTTTTGTGTGTGTGGATAATGTGTATGCACAGTATTTTTTTATTTATACAGTCCTTGTAAAATTGCTCATATCTGCATGAAGTGATCTAATGTCATACCACTTGATCTATTGATAGTTTCTTGCTTTAAAGAAGTTGGTTTTATAACAGGGTGAATCTAAATAGGATTATTGATTCAGGCAATCTAATCAGAAATGGTTTTGAGGGACTTAAGTGGAAGAGAGGATCTTAAAAATTTTCAGGCACACATTGTGGCAGGATTTATCTTCCTGGATCAAAGGCCAATTTAATACTCATCTTTTGGGGGCTTCTAATCCAGGGAAGTGTGGGGGTCTCTCCTGGAAAACAATTTACTGGACAAAAAAGCTTTGTCGATTTGTATGAAAAGATTACTTCTCAATAACAAAGCAAAACAAATGTCTTCTTCAAACTTTGGCAGCATAACATCATTATTTACACACACACACACACACACACACACGAGCGCGCACACACACACACACACACAAAGTGGCCATTTTCTTAGCTATTCTGGTGGTTTTGACTATTTCATGGCAAATTCTCTTTTTCATAACTTCAAAGTCATTTTACATTCAAACAAAATTTGAATTTATTTTAGACCAAGGGATCTGGGGCATTTGTTTTGACTTTACAGCTAGTGCCTGCAAGTGGTTTCTGAACTAAGACACTGTCTCTCATCTTTTCCCAATCAAGAGCTTGTTTTCCTTTTATATGTACGTGTATAGGGGAAATCTTTACATGTAACAAAGGAAAGGATTATGATATGGATCTAGAAAACTATTTTTGCCTGAAATACCTTGTGAATTATGAAAAAAAAAATTTTCCATTTAAATTATTCTTTAATTTTCATGTCCTTCATGTGTAATTGTGTAACCAATAAAGGAAGACCTGGGCCCAGGCTCTCTGGGTTCCTATCTGAGTTCGGCTGCTGACTTGCTGAGTGACCTTAGTCAAGTTGCTTAACCTCTTGTGCTTCAGTTTTTTCATCTGAAAAGCATAGTAAAAATAGTTCTACCTTATAAGATTTTTTTAATGCTTGTACGAGTGACTGGGCTACTGTTAGCATTTAATAAATATTAACTATGACTATTAATAGAATCTGTGGACAAAAGTCATCAGGTGTTATTTATAAACAACAGATCTTTGTAGTAGTTTTTGACTACTCTGGAGGTTAGCAACACTAGCTATTGATGTGAATGTTATGGCATAATATTGCAAACTCAAGTTTATCAGGTAAAAGTGAGAGGTGATTGCTTAATAATCGGTTAGGTTTGTCTGCTTCTCTGAACTTAGAAATATGCTTATTAAGAGATATTCTTTAGGAAACATCAGAGAACTGTCCTCAGTGAATTTGCTTCAAACTCTAGGGCATTATTGTTAAAAGCTAGAAGGACTAGTTTTATAAATATAGAGGTTATTTAGCACTAGGCATGAATTAGAATAGCCACTGGTTTCTTTCACTCTGTGAAAAGAACCAAACAATTTAGGCATCCCATCTAGAGGTTTTAGGGTAAAAGCATTGAGGTCATGATGCATCTAGTTTCCTTTCTTAAAATGTTAAATACAATAAATTATTTTCCAAAATCTGATTTGTACTTGATTTGGTAGACCTTGCTTTTAAATATAAAACTTGCATTATAAAATCATGTAAAAATTGTTTACTCTCAGTAATATGCTCTTCAAATGTTTACAGTGGGAAGGGAGACAGAGTTTCCACAATTGGTATTTAATATAAAAAGATAAATAGCTAGAGAAATAGCTATACCATCTTATAGCCATATAATACTTTTGACTCATATTAAGCTTTATGTCCAAATTTCTCAGGTCTTTTTCAAATAGATTTCTATTCACATTTCCCCAACTAATTGGTATAATTGTTACAGATAACTTTTGGCTTAGGTGTATGCTACGGTCTGAATGTTTGTGAATCCCCCAGCCCCCTATTCATAATTTGAAATCCTAAACCCCAAGGTGATTGTAGTAGAAAGTGGGGCCTTTGGGAGGTGATTAGGTCATAGGGCTGGAGTCCTCATCAGTGCCCTTATGAAAGAGGACTGAGAGAAACCTGTTGTCCCTTCTGACACAGAGGACTTGGTGAAAAGAAGGCTGTCCATGAACCAGTAAGTGGTATTTTGTCAGATACCAAATTTGCTAGTGCCTTGATCTTGGACTTCCAAGCCTCCAGAACTATGAGAAATAAATTTCTGTTGTTTGTAAACTACTCAGATTATGGCACTTTGTTTTAGCAGCCAGAACAAACTAAGACAGTATATTTAATCCTATTACATTTCATTTTACTTTCAGCTCTGATCACTTCCTCAAGATGTTTTTGATACTTATTCTCTCATTAATTCAATAACCTTGAATTAGGTGTCTACTATTCATCAGGTACTGGTGCTGGTACGGCACCAAAGGAACAAAGGTAAATAGCATATGGCTCCTATCTCTGAATTGCTCACGGTATAATGATGACGGAAGTTTTAGACATCCAAACAATAGATAAAGAGCACTGTGATAGGGGCTGTAACAGGAGTAGACACACAGTAGGGTGGGAAGATAAGGGATGAATGGTCAAGGCTACTTGGGAAGCATAGAGACAAGGAAAGCTTCACTAAAGAAGTGGTGATAAGATTGAG